CGGCTTGCTCCCAGCGAGTGGGATGCGCGCTCCGACAGGGAAAGCAGCGCCAGAGGTACCCAAAGCTGCTCTATTGGCCACCGCGAGCGTTCAGAACAGACACATTTTGCGGCGATCGTCGTTGCCACTCGGGATGGGCAGATCTGTCTGCGAAGTTTTTGCTTCTGCATGCGACCGGGAGGTCGCGGGCGGCAAAGCTAGAACGCGTCCACTGAACATAGAAACTTGTGTTTCAACGCCGAGATTCCCAATCGTGCAAGGTTGGAAGACCGTAGGCTGGGAAACGTTTCCCAAAATTAGATGCATCGATGATTTTTCCGCGTCGCGTATCAATGAAGGCACGCAAGTATCCGAGAAGATGCTTCCCGACACGCTAGACTCACTTGCAGCGGTGGTGTTGAAGATCGCGAAACCAAGAACAATGCGCATTCGTTGGCGCAAAGATGATTTTGTGCAAGCCTTCAAACAATACCAATATGCAGCTCTCACCTTCCATTGGCAGTTGTCGCGTGGCCGGAGGCGTTGGCTAAAGACCAGTGTCTCCAGCTCCTGGCAATGCCCTTTGGCTCTTCCGCCTCCGTGTCCGCCTGGGAGCTGTTCGGTTTGGCAATTCAGGGTGTGCTTGCGCAGATTTTCCCAGTGCTATACCTTCGCTTTGTCGACGATCTGTTTTCGGGCGACGCGATGGAAGAGCAAGATAGATGTTGGCGGAGACCCTCTGACGGGCCCTGCTGGCACTGCCGAGCCGGCCAGGTACGTAATTTCAGATCCTCTCGGCTGGGATTTGGATGCCGCCAAGGCTGTCACAGAACAGTCATCGGCCACCATTATCGGCGTCGGCGTTCGTTTTGATGACGCCCGGCAAGAAATAGTTTTTGACGCGGGTCCGGAGAAGCTCGAGTTGTGGAGCCCCCGAATCGTCAGGGCCCTCAAGGCGGGCGCGTCGCCGTCGGCAGAAGCGCAGAAACTGGCCTTGCGTTTGAGTTGGGGTGCCAGCTCAGTTTTTGGCAAGGGGGCGCGTGCTCCGCTGGCAGCTTTGTTCTTTCATGGCGCAGGCCGCGCCGGCCGTCTCACTGCGAGGGCGAGGCTCGCGCTCATATGGTGGCATAAGTTTTTGCAATCGCCACCCTCGCGGCGCGTGCCGCTGCAACTCCGCGAGCGCCAGCGGTGCATTTTGCACAGCGACGCAACCGGCACTGGCACGATGGCGTCGGTGCTGCACGCTCCTTTCGCCAAAGTCTGGGCCGCCACCAGCGTGCCCGACAGCGCCCGCCAATGGGCACACTGGCGAAAGAACCAGATCGGCACTGGGAGCAGATGGCAGCGATCTGCGCATTGAAATGGATTTTAAGCATTGGCCAAGCAGATCTCGAGATCATCTGCTTCGTCGATAACACAAGCGCATTGGGTGCGCTTGTGCGAAGTTGTTCACGGAAGTCCGATTGGAATTGTCTGATTGGCAATCTGCGGCTTCTCGTCGCCGAAAAGGCACATTTCTTGCATCTTCGGCATGTGCCTTCGCATTTGAATCTCGCAGATGCCCCCGCGCGGCCGTCTGAGAAGGCAGAGCAAATTGCCGAGCTGCAGGCGCGAAATTTTCAACGCGTTGAGCGGCTGTTTCCGCCGGATGCACCCTGGGGCGGCTGAAGCAGAAGTAAAACAATAACATGTGCACAGGTTTTGATTGGAGGAGGGATGCCATGCGCCAGTCTTGCCTTTTCCGTAGTATCGGCTCAATGCTTAGTTTTGTAAACGAGAGCCGAAGCAAGCGTCTGCATGGTGCCCCGCCCCGGCAGGCGAGCGATGTGTACTCGGTTTTCGCTCGCGTGCTGCAGGGCGTGGCTGGCCTGGATCTGGTTGATATCTCTGGTCTTTGCGAAGCTCTGGAGAACGGGGGCTTCCAGCATTTGTCTGATTTGGGCGGCTTGGAAGCAAATGAATTGGTGGATCTCGTCCCTGCGTTTTCTGGACAGAACGTTGCGCTCGTCAATGCCTTCTTGGCGCAGTGTCAGCGCCAGGCCGACCGGGAGTGAGCGGCCGCGGCGCGCCGACAGGCAACGCGCACCGAGGCTGCCTCGCCCTCTTCAGGGGCTGGGGCAGAGGCGCAAACCCGAGTTGCGAGCCAAAGCGATCCACGTGAGGCAGCCAACGACGAGCAAGGTCGCGCTGGCTTGATCTTGCTTGGTGAATCGCGCCGTGCTCGTTTTGTTCCCGAACCTGCTGTGCTAGCAGCCGCAGCGGCGGCCGCCGCCCGCTGCAATTGCTATCCAGGGGCGGATCCAATTGGCAGGCCCCGCGAAGAAGTCAAACGTGCACGTCGCGATGTTCCTGGCGGAGATCATCTCAATCTCCACGCTCTGTGGGTCGAGTTCGCTTAAAGAAGTCAAACGTGCACGTCGCGATGTTCCTGGCGGAGATCATCTCCATCTCCGCACTCTGTGGGTCGAGTTCGCTGCCTGGCGAAAAAGTGCTCCACAATACGCTTCCGCCGTCCGCTCGTGGGACGAAGCTGCCAAGGCCATTTCGGCGCCCAGCTGGCCACCGTCCGAATCTGTTCTCAATGCCTTTGTGGGGTTATTCCGTAATGGGAACAGTCTGCAGAAATATGTTTCTCATGTTCGCAGTGTGCTCTACTTATTGCAGGCCCCTCTCGGTGTTCTCGACGACGCAGAAAGGCTGGCCAGAGGTGCCGAGAAAATTACCCGAGACGTATTCAGGAGAGTGAAGATCTGGGCGACGGCGGAAGAAACCAATCTCATCCGCAAGTGGTGCGCTGAAGCTGGATATCCGCTGTTGGCGGCGTCGTGGGTGGTCGCTCGCCAATTCTGTCTGCGTTACTCTGAGTTGCTGCTCCTCAAGTCAAATGTTGTGACATTCCGCTTCAGCGGCGATGAACGCAAAATCTGTGTCATTCGTTTCGCGCTGCGCACATGTTACAACGAACCGTGTGAGACAACCAGACGTTGTACTTGTCAGCTGCAAGGGCGCCCCTTGTGTGGTGTCTGCGCGTTATTCTTTGTAGCAGCAGCAGTGTCGGTCCCCTTCGCGAGCGTGCAGTATGCCGACGCTCTTGCTGTTCTCAAATTTGCAGCAGCCGCTTCGCAGTTGCGGAGTGCTGCGGCCTGGGGCACGCACGCTTTCAGGCGAGGCTTTGCAGACGAGGCGCTCCCACAAGGAGGGCCCGCAGCTTTGTTTTTCAGTGGTGGTTGGAAGGGCGTGGCGGCTTTCGGTTACGTCAGCGCCCAAAGTCGTCGGCGGCCGAATGGCTAGTTGACCACTCCGACTCAAGTGACGGCGAGCAAGCCTGACTGTGGCATCGTGTGCGTGGGGTTGTAAAACAAATAGGAACAGGAAGCGGTCCTCACGATGTACCCCTGTCAAGCGCTGCCGCGCAGTCCGTCGCCTTCTGGCGCATTGGGAGCCCAAGGGGCGGGTTCCCAGAAGGCTCCTGCCAGCCAGGCAGCGCCGTTCACACGCCCTATGCTGGCGCAAGGACGCCGGCCACTCTACAGTGGGCCTGGCTACCGCAATGGTTTTCATGATTCATAAACTCGTTTATGCTGCAGGAAAACCAGAGCAGCCCCACGTGTGTTCGCCTCCACTCCTCAATTCCTGCACGCTCAATGCCTGCGCAGCGGGCTGCGGTGTCGGCGGCCGGCGGCTTTCTGCGCGAAGCGGCGGAAATATGCTCACCTTGCTCTGTTCGTGTGTACTCTGGTGCGGTCTCGCATGGCGGTTCGCCCGCGCTGCTCGGGTCTCGTCTGCTGGGCCGATCGTGTCTCGCAGTTCTTCTGTTGCTGCTCCCGCGCGCTGGCTCCTTGAAGCCAGATCGATAATGTTCCTTGATAGGAGCAGCGGCCAAAAAACTCGCTGACAGGGGCTGCACAAACAAGACAGGCTTTCTGATAGGAGCGGCGCCTCCGAAACTCCCTGAAAGGAGCTGCGCCTGCGTGCTCCCTGATAGGAGCTAGCGGTGCCTAGCGCTCCCTGAAAGGAACTGCGCCTGCGTGTTCCCCGACAGGAGCGGCGCCCTAAAGCTCCCTTTTTTGCGTGTTCCCTGACAGGAGCAGCGGCCGAAAACTCCTTGACGGGAGCGACGCCTCAAAGCTCCCTGATAGGAGCGGCGCTTCAAAGCTCCCTGACAGGAGCGGCGCCCCAGAACAGAAGTTCGCCGAAGGGGGCGGCGCCCAATGCTCCCTGAAAGGAGCTGCGCCTGTGCGCTCCTCGACAGGAGCGCTGCCCCCCAGAGCTCCTTCCTGTGTTCCCTGACAGGAGCAGCACCCCCAAGCTCCCTGAAAGGAGCTGCGCTTCTGTGCTCCCAGACAGGAGCGGCGCCCCCGAAGCTCTCTAGCAGGAGTCGCGCCTGTGTGCCTCCTGGGGCGGCTCCGTGGCGCTGCGCCAGCGGGCTCCCCAGCAACAGCCTGGCGGCTGTCTGCCAGCTTTCTGCCCGCCCTCATGCCACCCTATGGCCCGCGCCGGCGTCCTGCCCTGGCTGGGAGCCCAAGGGGCGGGTTCCCAGAAGGCTCCTGCCAGCCAGGCAGCGCCGTTCACACGCCCTATGCTGGCGCAAGGACGCCGGCCACTCTACAGTGGGCCTGGCTACCGCAATGGTTTTCCTATATTTTCTGGGTGTCTGCCTTCCCCCCCCCACTGCCCATATGTTCCCATATGTTCTGGGGAATCGACGATGAATTGTGGCTGTGTGTTTCTTCCCCTCCTGGTGTGTGTCCTCCTTGGAGGCGCACGTCCGACCCGAACATATAGGTATGCCCATCTTGTAGTACATCGTTTCCCGAGCGGTGTGACCAAAAAGCGCCCGCCACGACGCACATACCATAAGATTTCTCGGTGCGCGCGTCGCCCCTGGGTGGGTTGGGGGCGGGGCGACGCACATCTAGTAGAAGTGTCTTGGGGCGACGCCGGAAGGAACGCCTCGAACCTCGAAGGTCGAACCTCGAACTTGCCCCCCTCGCTCGCCGCCGATCCCCACCGGGGCGCTCCTCCGCCAGCGGGGCGTCCGTCTCGCGGAGCAGGTCGGCCACCAGCGCGAGCGCCGCGCCCGCGGCGGACGAGCCGCCGCCGCCGTGCGCGAGCGGCTGGTGCACCGTGGCCAGCATGCGGCCGGCGGGGGGCCGAGGTCGAGCAGCAGCTCCGACGGTGATCGAGCGGTGGGCTCGACGAGCGATCGGCGGCGAGGGGGGAGGGAGGGGGGGCGAGCGAGACGGAGAAGGCCCTCTCCTGGCCATCGCTCGGACGTCCATTCCCTGTGTTCTTTTCGGCTTCGTGCGTGGCTTTTTCTCGCCGAATGATCAAGGATGCTCCTCGATGGTCCTCGCCGAGGAAGAATGCACGCGTCCGAGCGATGCCGAGTCTCAGGAGGCGGCCGGGGCTTCTCGGATGCCCGCACGCCCTCCGGGAGGCTGTCGCCTGCGTCATGCGGAGAGAAGGCTTCTTGGGGAACACTTCTCGACAGGAGGCCGGCGGGTCTTCCTCCGAGCCTTCTGAGAAGGCCGGCCCCTTCTCATTTCGCCCCCGTGCTCGCCGCCGAAGCGAGCAACACACACACACACCCATACTTATAGTGGAGTCGGAGGGAGGAGGACTGGCTATGGGTGTGGGTGCGGGCTGTCGGACTTTAGGGGAGGCTCCCGTTCGATCGGGGACACGGACTTGGCACGCACGGACTTGGCGCCGAAGAGAACAACACGCACCCATAGCCACCTCCGTCCCCCCTACGGTTTTTTTTTTTTTTTTTTTTTTTTTGTGTGTGTGTGTGTTGTTCGTTCGTCATGGTTACGCTGGCCCGCCTCCCTCTTCCTCCCCGCCTTCCTCCTCTGATTGTCTTCCTCCTTCCTAGGAGGGTGAAGGGAGGGAGGACGAGGTGGATCAGTACGGTCGTCCTCCTCCGAAGACTTGGAGGCGACTCCTGCAAAATTCGGCTCAGCATCAGCGCTAGGTAATACTCCCTTGGGTCCATTGGCCCGCCTGAGCTGGCCCACTTCCATCGACTCCAATCCAGTCTGGTCAATTTTGCCTTAATTCTGGCCTTACGCGGCTTACGCCGACGAGCCAGACACAGCCCGACTAGGCCCAGTGTTGAGCCGGACTGCGCCAGATTATGAGTTAAACCTACTGTGGCTGGATAAGATCCACGCACAAACAACGCTGATGCTGAATTAAACCTCGCATGAGTTGCAATCGAACGAGGAGATTCGACACCACTACCCTCGCGAGAAGCCAAGGAAGGTCTCCCAAGTGGCGTGGGCATACCTTTGTGGCGTTCCGCTCGAGACAACTCATTCGGCTGGCCCACCCCAGCCACCCGGAACTCAGACATGTCGACGTCTCACTCCTTGGGGAAACCAAGCGGCACCGAGACCGCTATACTCCCCACACCTCTCCCCGGGTGCGTTCTGACCAGAATGTCGAGGCGAATCCAGAGGTGGCGACGACCCAGAAGAGGGGAAAGCGAGGGGCAGGTGGCGGTATAGAGGTACAGTCAACGCGCATAGTAAGGACAAACGATTTTTTCAAGGGTGCCCTTGGGTCCTTGCCAGCCTCAGCCTCTGCGGCCCGTCCCTAGCAATTCTCGCAGGCCAGTTTCTCAAGTTACCTGGGGGTTTGGCCGCCTGCCGCCCAGAATACTTCAATTTCGGCCTCCAAGGGTCTTGCGTCCTTACCACGCGTCCTTACTATACGTTTTCACTGTAACCCTCTTCCTCCTGTCAACTTCTGCGCTTCCGCCGCCCTCCGCCGACCTTGCGCTGGCGGGCCGGCCGCCGTGCCACGCCCGCCAGCTTCCGCAGGCCTTCCGCCAGCGGGCCAGCCGCCGCCTGGGGGAGGGTCCTCCTGGAGCGCGCTGTCTGGGGGGGGGTCCTGCTGGGGGAGGGTCCTCCTCCTGCTCCTCCTGCTCCTCCTGCCTCTCCTCCTCCTCCTCCTCCTCCCCTCCTCCTCTCCTCCTCCTCCTCCTCCCCCCCTCCTCCTCTCCTCCTCCTTCTCTCCTCTCTCCCTCTCCTTCCTCTCCTCTCCTCCTCCTCTCCTCCTCTCTCTCCTCCTCCTCCTCCTCTTCCCTCTCCTCATCCTCCTCCTCTCCTCCTCCTCCTCTCTCTCCTCTCTCATCCCTCTCCTCCTCTCTCCTCCTCCTCTCCATCCTCCTCCTTCCTCTCTCCTCCTCCTCCTCCTCCTCCTCCTCCTCCATCGTAGGCCTCCTCGCAGGATGCGGTCGCTGGTAAGACGAAGCCAGGACGAGGATAATTACATTCGGGTGAGGATAATATCGAGAATCTCCGAGAACCAGCGGCTCTGGAGGATGTCTCAGGCGCCGCGGCATACTCAGAGCGCTTCGACACGCTCTGAGAGCGTTCCGGAACGCTCTGGAACGGATTGATCCTCGTCCTGGTCCTAGCCCCGTCCGCGCTGGTGGCGGTGGTGTCGCGTCTCCCCCCTCCGACCGAAGGGGCCAAGAGACCTCCCGGGACGCGGTGGGTGGAGGGCCGAAGG